ATCCCCCCCGCGGGAGGCGACACCAACCCCCCTCCCCCCGCGGGAGGCAACACCAACCCCCCTCCCCCCATCCCATCCCATCCCCCCCCCGCGGGAGGCGACACCAGCCCCCCTCCCCCCCCGCGGGAGGCGACACCAGCCCCCCTCCCCCCATCCCATCCCATCCCCCCCCGCGGGAGGCGACATCAGCCCCCCTCCCATCCCCCCCCAGGGGGCACAGACCCCGTTCCTTCCCCACCGCCCCCCTCCGTCCCACCCCCCCAGGCAACACCTTCCTCAGTTCCCAGCCCCGCAACCCAGCAGCCCCGCCAGCAAAACGCGCGCCGCGCCGCTCCCTCAAGCGCCCGGCGGAAGGGGCGCCCCCCGCCGACCCCAGCCACGGCCCCGCCAGGGACGAGCCCGGCCCCCCCGCCAGAGGGGCCCCCCCGCCAGAGGCCCCCCCGGACCGGGCCCGGGCCCGGCCCCCACTCACCCCGGGCTCCCCCGGGCCCGCCCAGCAGCAGCAGCAGGAGCAGCGCGAGCGCGGCCGCCGGCAGCGGGGCGCGCGGGAAGGGGCAGGCAGCGCGAGCCGACTCCGCCATAGCAACCGCCGCAGCCTCGCTCCCGTCCGGGCCCGGCCAGCGCGAGACACCGAGCGCGAGCGAGCAGCGCCGCCGGGGCCGCCGGGCCTTAAAGGGGAGGGGCGGAGGGCGGGGCCGCGTCCTTAAAGGGGGGGGCGGGGAAAGCCGCTGTCCGCCGACACGAAAGAGAGCACGGCTAGGGCAAGGGCCTGAGGGTGGAATGAGCGTACCGGGCGTGTGCGCGTGCGCCATGGGCGTGCAAAGGCAGACGGGGTGCCCAAGGGCGCGCAATGTGTAGGAAACGTACGAGGGGCAGCAGTGGGGGTGTGTGTGTAAATGGATAGAGCACATGGGGCTGCGGGTGTGAAGATGGACATTGAGGCCCTGGGTGTGCAAATGTGCACGAGAGCGTGTGTTCAGATGCACATGGGTGTGCAAATGAATACGGGGGCATGGTTTAGGCAGATGACATGGAACGAATGTGCAGTGGGTGTGCAAATGGACATGGGGGGGCCGTGTGTGCAAATGGTGTACAATGGTTGTGCAAATGCACGCTGGGGCAATGTGTGTGCCACGTGTATGCAGTGCTCCCCGTGGAGAGCCAGTGTCCTGCCACATGACGTGCCGTGTGTAGGGTGGACGTGCAGGAGAAGCCAGCACCGTTCTGTGTGCATGGAGTAGTGTGCAGTCTTTGAGCAATGCACGGTGGGTGTTACGTACTAACGGAGAAGTATACCTGGAAGGAACTAGTGTCATGTGTACAAAGAGGGAGAGGAGCGATAGGTGCGCACACAGACATGCAATGCACATAGGGAAGGCTGTGGGCGACCTGTGGGCAATACACAGGGGGATGCAGCAATCGTCTCTGCAATGCATATGGGGCAAATCTGCATATCCCGAGTCCTTGGGAGGGAGTTAATGTCACCGTATGCAATACAGGGGGAGAGGATGCATTACAATGCATTACAGACACAGTAATATTTCCCCCCCCCATACTGCATTGCAGACACAGTGATACTGGATCCCCCCGCCCTTGGCCAAGAAGGGCTATTTTCAGACCTTAGCATGCAGCAAACCTGGCAGGGGCACATGCTAAATGCAGGCAGACTCAGCAATGTGAGCCTGAGACTGGCTGGCTGGACATCCCAGACCATTCCAGTGCTACCCCAGAGAGGCACCAGTGGAATCTCTGGCATTCCAATTAAAACGCATTTCATTGCAAACTGCTGGGCTATTTTTCCTTCCCTCCTTCTATATAGCGCACATGACTGGATCTATGGGTCCCTGGGGACTTGGTGTGCTGGGTTTACTCTACCAATTGTTGCATTCCAGAAAAAAAAAAATTCCACCCTAAATTCTTGCTGGAGGCTGAGCCAATGATTAATTTGCTGAGTTCCTAAAGCATGTGTGTACGTGTGTGCAGACACATAAAGATCCCAAAGTAACAGGAATACAAAACTCTGATCCCATAAGGTGCTGAGATCCCCACATACTGCAGGCTCAGGCCTATAAGCAGAACATGATCGTAAAACCATAGGGAAAAATGAATAGGTGAGGATACTGGGCAAACCCATCTGCTGGTTGGGGACATTATGATGAGTGTTTACAGGCCGGGAATAGATCATTTGAGGAGGTTGGGGTGAGTTTCCCTTAAGTCATTCCCTGTGGCTGACTTTGGTGTGGAGTCAGCTAGCTGATCTGCTCATGCTGATGCCAGTGCTTCATGCAGCTCTTTCAGAATGCGCGGGGCTGCTGGGCCCGAACGCTTGAAAACCTGACCCTTCTGCTCAGGGGCCAGATAAGAGCTGAACCCTTTGAAAGTCTGGCCTCCCAAATCTTCTTGAGATGAGATAAAAGAGGAGCCGAGGCTAGGAAATTACAGAGGAATATGGCGGCTGCATTTAGCTAGGCCCAGACCTGTACAGCTCTTGGACCTTTTTAACTCAAGGGTCCTTAGGCTTCTACCTCCCACAGGAGTTAGGCACCTAAATATCTTTGAAGATCTGGGCCCTAGCTTCTTTTCTGGTGAGTGAATTGCTTGTGGGTTGCTATGAATAGTGGTTGGTCCGAAATCTATGCTGAAGAATTGCAATGGCACATTTTCAGCCTGTCAGTCATTCTTCAAACGGTCAATCATGGGGGAGTCTGGGTTAGCGCGTCAGTTGCATGGTGTTGTTGCTGCACCTTGATGGAGACCTCGATTCACAAAACTTCAGTCACTGAGGAAAGCATCCAGGTAGATACTTGCTGACCAGAGTGGGGATGGATTTAAGCAGGCACTTAAGTGCTTTCCTGGGTGATGGAAAGCTTATAAACAGGTGAATGATGAATGCCGAGCAACCGAACATTCACGACAGATTGTCAGACCAATCATCGTTCAGCCTAAAATATGTGACATTTGGGGGATTAGGGAATGTTTGCACGAGTACTTGGCTGTTGGCTGATTGTGAGCAGCGGGGAGGGGGCAGTTTGCAGAAGTTCCGTTGTTATTTATTTCTTTGCAGTAACTCCCACTACATGCTAGGGGCTGTCCGAACATTTAAGGCCAGTCCCCTCCCCAAGGAGCTCGCAGTCTAGATGGGGAAGTCGGGGAAAGAGGAATAAATTGGCAATTTATTGGCTGAGCTTGCTCAGTTTGCCTCTTTAGCTGTAACGTTATAACTTTTGAACACGGCATCCGATTAAGTCCAAAATTGAAGGGAACATTTTAAGCATCAGGGGATGGAACCTTAATGATTCTCCCCTAAGAGGGGAGACAGGGAGCCCCTGCCGTCTGTTTAGCAGCGGCAGAACTTCAAGCACCTTGCACTTGCCTACAGATCACAATGAAGTGGGGAGTTGTGTGGGGGACAAACAGAGCCTATGCTATGGCGAGGAGAATGGGGGACCCAGGCACAGCAGGAGGGGAAAGGGGCACACAGTGCCCCTGTCATGGAGAGGAGAGCATGCGAGAACATGGGACCCTGGTATGCGGGGAAGAAGGGAATGACAGGACATACAGAAACCCTGACACTGGGGGCACTAAGAGATCCTGGGGGAATCTGCTATAGGAGAGAAAGGGAGGACAGCAGTGAGGACAAATTCAATGTTGGCCTCGTTCACTATTTCTGTGAACGCAACAAAACAGGGGGATGACCCTATCATGCAGATCAGCACAAACCGGTCTGATGTTGGGCCATGAGTGGGCGGGGCTCGACTTGTGGGTGGATCTTCGGAGCACATCACAAGCCTGATAGACCAGCCAATTGCTTGGTGCATGTTTCGCAAGGCTACCCGTAAAAACCAAAAAGAAATTCCAGGAAAGGTCAACCCACCCTGTGGGTTTTTAATCAGGGAGCAGGAAAAATATATGATTGCAACAAAATCTCCTGAGCAAGTTCCTCTTTCATCTGTCTCCGGGTTTTTGACTTATGTGGTGTTGCTATCAGCAGGAAACTCCTGCGTGCTAGATGATGTGGATCTGCTGATAAGGAGCTGGGTGATGCAGGCTAAATGAGCCTTTAATATCCTGTTTAAATAATGTTATTATAGCCATTTCCAGTTGTCACAAACAAGACCTGGATTTTGTCGGTGCATTTTTTGTCCTTTTTTGGTGTAAATTCCTAGGAACATTAATGCACACAGCAGATCTGATTCCAGTGGCCAGATTCTGCTCTTTGTATAGGGGATTTTCACCCAGGCATAAAAAGAGAGAGGCTAGATCTTCTCCCTACTCCGTTGGCCTTGGGTAGCCATTTACAGCCACTTCATACTGATCTAAATGGGGGAGAATCAGGCTCAGTGCGGTTACACCGGTATAAAATGGGCGTAGGTGAAGGCAGAATCAGGCACAGCCTGTTTATATAAAACACCACACACCCATGGTATGATTTGCTGTGATCCTGCTCTAAGTTAAGGAGCCGTTGACCAGTCTAGTACATGGATGGATGTGTATGGGAAAAGGGAGATGCCACAGGAAGTTGCATGGGAGTCAGCCCTGGGAGTTGGGAAATCCAGGTTCTGTTTCCAGCTCCACCACGAACTCATTGTGTGACCTTCAGCACATCACTTTGCCTCTCTCTGCCTCTGTTTGTAAAATGGAGGTAACAATGGGCTCTTCTCCTGAACATAGCGTGTGGGGATCTTGGGATGAAAAGCGCTAGGAAGTAGTATTCCTGGGTAGGTGATGCACTGAAAGAGAATTGACCCAGTCCATTGCACAGCCCTCATGGTGTAAAGCCAATGTCTTGACCACTCATGGATCATTAAAGATCCTGTGACAGATTTTTTTGTAAGAGTCAGGGCATTAGCCCTGGCCAAATCCTCCCTTGCTAATTACACTCTGACACCTTCAAATCTTTCCAAACTGGTCAGGCAAATCCCCTGGGGGTTCATTTTGTAGCCATGTGCTGCAGCAGCAGCCCCTCCTCCCACTAATCTTTAATAAGAAGAGATTATCAATGGGTTGGAAGCAAGGTTTATTGTAGGGTTTGGATGCGAATGAGATATATGACGTTATTCACAGGAGTTGAGCATAAATAAAGACCATGCATGAGCTCTGGACAGCAGGGCTTTCCCTGTCTCCTGACATCTCACCTTGAGCTAAAGGCAGAGATTTTGCAGCGCTTAGGAGATAAAATCGCTTTACATTTTATACAGTATATTACATTTTAACATATAAATAACTATAGAATAGGGCCCAAAGCTGTTTTTCCGGGCACCGTTTAAACTGATGTTACAGGTGAGACCAAACTGATCCCCAAGCTTTGGAGAATTTTTTGGATCCGGGTCAGAACTTTAGGGACTTGGCTCCTTCAGCTGAAAGATCTCTATGCTGCTGCATCTGCGGGAGGGAAGGAAGGAGGGAGAAGAATGTGGCAGGGTATAATGGGGACTATTTTTCAGCCTTAATTATAGTGATGGCTACCAGGTGAGCATCACAAGAGAGGTGACAAGAGGAAGGTATTTCAGGCCCCCGTTCAACAAGGCACTTAAAGCACGTGCTTGTCTTTAAGCTTGTGAGTCCTCCCATTCCCCTGGGGTTTAGGAGAGTCAGCAAATGTGCCTTTCTCTTATCCTTATACTCCTGAGACGGAGAGAAAAGCTCCTCCGGGGCTCATTAACACATGAAATCCATTATATTGTTGTACTTCAATCGGAGCTACTTTGGGCATACAAAGACAGACATGTATTTAATTAATATATGCCTACGAGCCACTGATTTCAATAAGGGTTGGTCACAGTACTGTGCTGATAGGGCCGTTTATGTCCCAGCTGCAGGACCAACTGAGCTGTGTGAGATGCCCAAAGAGGGGGAGAAAGGTTTCTGGCTGCACTTACAACCTGCCAGGGGGCTGAGGGCTACAGCTGGGGCTCAGTCCCGCTGCGCCCCATTGAAAGCGGTTGTAAAACTGCCCATGGACTGCAGTTGGAGCACGCTCAGGCCTTTAATTTGCCAATATCTGTTCAACAAGGGACCTGCCCCCGCGAGTCACTGAGCGCCCTCAGCTCCAGGCGAAGTCCAGGGGAGCTAAGGGTGCTTAGAATAGCTCCGGGCTGAGCTCTGTTAATCAAAAACAAACACAGAGAGCCACAATATTTTCCTCATGCTTGTATCTTCCTTGATAACAAGGCAGCTGAAACCACCAGCAATAAAACCCCGCAGCTGTTCAGCGCTGTCCTTGCACTCGTGTGACAGCAGCAGGGCAGCTGTGGGCAGCATTAGGGGGTTGAGTGTCCCCCCTCGAGACAGTTCAGGATGTGGATAAACCAGAGAGGGACCCCGGTCAAAATGTTGCTTCGAAACAGCCCCCCAAAGTCTGGGGGAGTTCAGATGCGGCTCTACAAGGTGGCTTACATTGTGTCCCTTACAGACCTGGAGTCTCCCTCTGTCTATAACAGACAAGGGAGTGTCAGGTGGGCCCCTCCAGTGGCTGGGAAGTCTTGGCTGCCTTTAGGGAGACCTGGGGTCTTATTCTGCCCCGCCTTGCACCTTGTGTTTTCATTTCCGCTTGTGCCAAATGTGTGGAAAAGACGCCCCGTCAGAACGGCCACTTTGCACGGCCAGTGTGCACAGGTGGACAGGCCTCCACAGGAGACAAGGCTGGGGCTGGACACAGCGGCTCAGACCCATCTTTAGCAGGTCTGCTTGGAATATGATGACATGACTCCCCTTCCCACTGAAGCAAATGCATCCAAGTACCTACGGGAGGAAGATGTGGCAGGGAGAATCTATGAGCTTGCCCAACGTCTGGGATCTGCAGCAGCGAGGTGGCGGGGACGCTAACCTGGACTTAACCCAGTACAGTCCTTTGCAGGATACAAGAACCACGCTGCACGTTGCACCCGTCGGGGAATTCCTGGCTGCTGTCATGGGGGAGCTGTGGGCGGGGAGCCCTGCTGGCGCCAAATTCACTGTGGAAGCTCAGGTCGGAGCAGATCCCAGATTCCTTCATGCTGGGCTGTGTCAGCGATGAAGGAGGGGGCAGGAACTCACCTCTCCAGTCACGGGTAGCAGTGAGATTAAGCTGGTCAGGGCAGCTTGCCAGCTGGGAGGGATGGAGTAGCTGGACGCGCTGGGGAAATGAGGGGGACCCACTGAAAGAGGGGGTGTTTCTTGCCCTTCTGCGCCTGCCCCTGGGGGTGGGAGAGGGCAGATCAGGACAACCCAGGAAATGTCAAGTTGGCCCTAGACCCCGAATGGCTGCTTGCACCAAATTCCTGCCTGGTGTAAACAAATGGAAGTAAATCCGAAAACCCCCGAGGCCCACCTCCCACACGGAGCTTCACCTGGCTCTGAATGAGGACACGTAAAGGGCCGATGCGCATGAAGGCCAGAACTCCGCCGCAGAAGGGAGGAATGACACCTGCAGCACCAGGGTAGGGTGGCAGGCTGTTCCCTGAGGACTCTCCACTGGGGTAGAGAGCAGCTTTGGTTCAATAGGATGCTAAATTGGTGCATCCCAGAGTGGCTTTGGCTGCACCCCCGATTGAGCACAGAGCGTTCATCACAGCCCAGTTCCAGTCACTGAGCTGCTGCCTGGCTCCTGGTGATTCCAGGGTGCATATTGTGTTATTTTACACGTGCCCGGAGACAGACACGCATGCATGCACACTCACCTATGTGCAAAAGGATCCCAAAGGCTAAACTGAGACTCCTGCTTTTCACATGGTCCTGATGTGGCGTTCAGAGTCAACGCCCCACTCTTGTGAGCAGGGCGGGGCGTGGGCTGCTGCTCTTGTTCCTGTCTGGCATGTGAGACAGGCTGGCGTCAGCTCACGGACCCAGCGGGTATTTTTATAAATGGGCTGGGAGAATTTTTTTTTATTTAAAAAAAAACCCTCCAAAAAAACAACTCCGAGGACACTGCAGAGCGACTGCGAAAAACATGCCGGGGCAACTGGCAGCTGCTGAGTGGGGCTTTTCTGCAGCAGTTGGAATGGTCCCTGGGGAGTAGTGGCCAGTTAAAATCCTCCTTCCACAATGGGGCTGGACTTCGAGAGAAAAACCGGTTTGTTACACAGTCGCGCAAAGGCCTCCTCCCTGCGCGCAGCATAAACTCAGTGTCCTTGAACCTCTTCGGCTTCTCTGCTGCTTCGGAGTCTGAGCAAGTGAATCAGAAACCCAATCCCAGCGCTCTCGGGCCTGCTCCCCGCAGTTAATAATCTTGTTTGGGTTTTTCTAGGGAGCTGCTCAGTTTCTTTAGTGTCTTTTTAATCCTCAGGGCTGTGAGCCGAGCAGAGGGGCTCTGGTACCAGCATTCCTTCATGACCTTAGCCAAGGCGGACAAAATCTGGGTGGGGCCGAGAGAGAGAGAGAAAATTACCATCAAATGAAAATAACTGAGATCCAGGGCCAGATCCTCCCCTGGTGTAAATCAGCAGTGTTTCATTGACTTCTGTGGAGCTACACCCAATTACACCAGCAACAGATCTGGCTCCCAGATATTAACCAATGATCCCCCCAGCAGAATGCTGCTTTGTCTCTCCCTTTTGGCAGGCCCCATAGAGAAAAGTCACGAGCAAGAACGCTGAGCAGGAGAAGCCTGACCAGGTGGGTGAAGTAAGAGCTTTTCCTGGAAGCCTGTCATTCAAAAGCTGTAATATTTGGGCAACTTCTCTGACCCTCCATTTTCCCATCTGTGAAATGGGGATGATAAAATGTAGATGCCTTGTAGGAAGAGCTTTAAGTCTCCAGGCAAAAGGCCCCTCTATTGGCAAACACTTATGCACATGCTGGACACTAATACCATGAGTTAGACCCATGACTGCTTGCAGTAATAAAGTTAAAACCGTGTGTAAGTGTTTGCAGGATCCCCTCCTCCTGGATCAGGTGAAGGCCATTTATTTAAAAATTGGAAGTCAAATCCTACAGAGGAAAATAGAGAGGCACACAAACTCTGGCAAGTCAAGTGTAAAAGTACAGTTAGACAGGTCAAAAAAGAATTTGAAGTGCAACCAGCAAACGACACAAAAGCTAAGAGCAATTTTTTTAAATACATCAGAAGCAGAAAGCCTGCCAAACAATCAGTGGGGCCACTGATCAAGGTGCTAAAGGAGTCCTCAAGGAAGGCAAGGTCATTGTAGAGAAACTAAATGAATTGTTTGCATTGGTCTTCACTGCAGAGGACATGCAGGAGATTCCCACACCTGAGCCATTCTTATTAGGTGAGAAATGTGAGGAACTGTCCCAGATTGAGATGTCAATAGAGGAGGTTTTGGAACAAATTTATACATTCAACAGTAATAAGTCACCAGGACTAGATGGGATTCACCCAAGAGTTCTGAAGGAAGTCAGATATGAAACTGTGGGATGTAACCTAAAGCTCAAATCATCCTCTGTACCAGTTGATTGGAGGATACCTAATGTAATGCCGATTTTAAAAAAGGCTCCCGAGGTGTTCCTGGCAATTACAGACCAGTAAGCCTATCTTCAGTACTGGCAAATTGGTAGAAACTATAGTAAAGAACAGAATGATCAAACACATAGATGAACACAATATGCTGAGGAAGAGTCAACACGGCTTTTCTAAAGGGAAATCATGTCTCACCAATCTATTAGAATTCTTTGAGAAGGCCAATAAACACATGGACAAGGAGGATCCAGTGGATATAGTGTACTTGGACTTTCAGAAAACTTTTGACAAAGTCCCTCACCAAAGGCTCTTAAGCAAAGTAAGCTGACATGGGATAAGAGGGAAGGTCCTCTCATGGTTCAGTAACTGGTTAAAAGATAGGAAACAAAGGGTAGGACTAAATGGCCAGTCTTCACAGTGCAGAGAGGCAAACAGTGGGGTTCCCAAGGATCTGTACTGATACCAATAATGTTCAACATATTCATAAATGATCTGGAAAAAGGAGTAAACAGTTAGGTGGCAAAGTCTGCAGACAATACAAAATTACTCAAGATAGTTAAGTCCAAAGCTGACCGGGAAAAGTTACAAAGGGATCTCACAAAACTGGGTGACTGGGCAACAAAATGGCAAATGAAATTCAGTGTTGATAAATGCAAAGTAATGCACATTGGAAAACACAATACTAACTACACATACAAAATGATGGGGTCTAATTTAGCTGTTACCACTCCAGTGGACAGTCTCTACGTAAAAGAATAAATGGACACAAATCAGAAGTCAAGAATTATAACATTCAAAAACCAGTCGGAGAACACTTCAGTCTCTTTGGTCACTCGATTACAGACCTAAAAGTGGCAATTCTTCAACAAAGAAACTTCAAAAACAGACTCCAACTAGAGACTGCTGAATTGGAATTAATTTGCAAACTGGATACAATTAACTTAGGCTTGAATAAAGACTGGGAGTGGATGGGTCATTACACAAAGTAAAACTATTTCCCCATGTTTATTCCCCCCTCGAACCCCCACCACTGTTCCTCAGACATTCTTGTCAACTGCTGGAAATGGCCCACCTTGATTATCACTACAAAAGGTTCCCCCTCCCCTTCTCCTGCTGGTAATAGCTCACCTTATCTGACAGGTTTCAGAGTAACAGCCGTGTTAGTCTGTATTCGCAAAAAGAAAAGGAGTACTTGTGGCACCTTAGAGACTAACCAATTTATTTGAGCATGAGCTTTCGTGAGCTACAGCTCACTTCATCGGATGCATACTGTGGAAACTGCAGCAGACTTTATATATACACAGAGAATATGAAACAATACCTCCTCCCACCCCACTGTCCTGCTGGTAATAGCTTATCTAAAGTGAGCATCAGGTGGGCCATTTCCAGCACAAATCCAGGTTTTCTCACCCTCCACCCCCCCACACAAATTCACTCTCCTGCTGGTGATAGCCCATCCAAAGTGACAACTCTTTACACAATGTGCATGATAATCAAGTCGGGCTATTTCCTGCACAAATCCAGGTTTTCTCACATCCCCCCCACCCCCATACACACACAAACTCACTCTCCTGCTGGTAATAGCCCATCCAAACTGACCACTCTCCAAGTTTAAATCCAAGTTAAACCAGAACATCTGGGGGGGGGGGGGGGGTAGGAAAAAACAAGAGGAAACAGGCTACCTTGCATAATGACTTAGCCACTCCCAGTCTCTATTTAAGCCTAAATTAATAGTATCCAATTTGCAAATGAATTCCAATTCAGCAGTTTCTCGCTGGAGTCTGGATTTGAAGTTTTTTTGTTTAAGCACACTTTGCTTCTCTACAAAAGAAAAAGGACACTAAACTTTCTAAACTACTACATGCTACAAGGGGCCACAACAATGGTTCCCTCAACCCACCTAGCAATATTGTTAACCTATCCAACTATACTCTCAGCCCAGCAGAAGCAGCTGTTCTATCTCGGGGCCTCTCCTTCTGCCCCTCCACCCCCACGAACATGATACAGTTCTGTGGTGACCTAGAATCCTATTTTCGACGTCTCCGACTCAAGGAATATTTCCAAAATACCTCTGAACAACATACTAATCCACAGAGGTCTCCCTACCAACACTACAGAAAGAGGGATTCTAGATGGACTCCTCCTGAAGGTCGAAACAGCAGACTGGACTTCTACATAGAGTGCTTCCACCGACGTGCACGGGCTGAAATTGTGGAAAAGCAGCATCACTTGCCCCATAACCTCAGCCATGCGGAACGCAATGCCATCCACAGCCTCAGAAACAACTCTGACATCATAATCAAAAAGGCTGACAAAGGAGGTGCTGTTGTCATCATGAATAGGTCGGAATATGAACAAGAGGCTGCTCAGCAGCTCTCCAACACGAGTTTCTACAAGCCATTACCCTATGATCCCACTGAGAGTTACCAAAAGCAACTACAGCATTTGCTCAAGAAACTTCCTGAAAAAGCACAAGATCAAATCCGCACAGACACACCCCTGGAACCCCGACCTGGGATATTCTATCTACTACCCAAGATCCATAAACCTGGAAATCCTGGGCGCCCCATCATCTCAGGCATTGGCACCCTGACAGCAGGATTGTCTGGCTATGTAGACTCCCTCCTCAGGCCCTACGCTACCAGCACTCCCAGCTACCTTCGAGACACCACTGACTTCCTGAGGAAACTTCAATCCATCGGTGATCTTCCTGATAACACCATCCTGGCTACTATGGATGTAGAAGCCCTCTACACCAACATTCCACACAAAGATGGACTACAAGCCGTCAAGAACGCTATCCCCGATAATGTCACGGCTAACCTGGTGGCTGAACTTTGTGACTTTGTCCTTACCCATAACTATTTCACATTTGGGGACAATGTATACCTTCAGATCAGCGGCACTGCTATGGGTACCCGCATGGCCCCACAGTATGCCAACATTTTTATGGCTGATTTAGAACAACGCTTCCTCAGCTCTCGTCCCCGAAAGCCCCTACTCTACTTGCGCTATATTGATGACATCTTCATCACCTGGACCCATGGAAAAGAAGCCCTTGAGGAATTCCACCATGATTTCAACAATTTCCATCCCACCACCAACCTCAGCCTGGTCCAGTCCACACAAGAGATCCACTTCCTGGACACTACAGTGCTAATAAACAATGGTCACATAAACACCACCCTATACCGGAAACCTACTGACCGCTATTCCTACCTGCATGCCTCCAGCTTTCACCCTGACCACACCACACGATCCATCGTCTACAGCCAAGCTCTGCGATACAACCGCATTTGCTCCAACCCCTCAGACAGAGACAAACACCTACAAGATCTCTGTCAAGCTTTCTTACAACTACAATACCCACCTGCAGAAGTAAAGAAACAGATTGATAGAGCCAGAAGAGTTCCCAGAAATTACCTACTACAGGACAGGCCTAACAAAGAAAATAACAGAACGCCACTAGCGGTCACCTTCAGCCCCCAACTAAAACCCCTCCAACGCATTATTAAGGATCTACAACCTATCCTAAAGGATGACCCAACACTCTCACAAGTCTTGGGAGACAGGCCAGTCCTTGCCTACAGACAGCCCCGCAACCTGAAGCAAATACTCACCAACAACCACATACCACACAACAGAACCACTAACCCAGGAACTTATCCTTGCAACAAAGCCCGTTGCCAGTTGTGCCCACATATCTATTCAGGGGACACCATCACAGGGCCTAATAACATCAGCCACACTATCAGAGGCTCGTTCACCTGCACATCCACCAATGTGATATATGCCATCATGTGCCAGCAATGCCCCTCTGCCATGTACATTGGTCAAACTGGACAGTCTCTACGTAAAAGAATAAATGGACACAAATCAGATGTCAAGAATTCTAACATTCATAAACCAGTCGGAGAACACTTCAATCTCTCTGGTCACGCAATCACAGACATGAAGGTCGCTATCTTAAAACAAAAAAACTTCAAATCCAGACTCCAGCGAGAAACTGCTGAATTGGAATTCATTTGCAAATTGGATACTATTAATTTAGGCTTAAATAGAGACTGGGAGTGGCTAAGTCATTATGCAAGGTAGCCTGTTTCCTCTTGTTTTTTCCTACCCCCCCCCCCCCAGATGTTCTGGTTTAACTTGGATTTAAACTTGGAGAGTGGTCAGTTTGGATGAGCTATTACCAGCAGGAGAGTGAGTTTGTATGTGTATGGGGGTGAGGGGGATGTGAGAAAACCTGGATTTGTGCAGGAAATAGCCCGACTTGATTATCATGCACATTGTGTAAAGAGTTGTCACTTTGGATGGGCTATCACCAGCAGGAGAGTGAATTTGTGTGGGGGGGTGGAGGGTGAGAAAACCTGGATTTGTGCTGGAAATGGCCCACCTGATGCTCACTTTAGATAAGCTATTACCAGCAGGACAGTGGGGTGGGAGGAGGTATTGTTTCATATTCTCTGTGTATATATAAAGTCTGCTGCAGTTTCCACGGTATGCATCCGATGAAGTGAGCTGTAGCTCACGAAAGCTCATGCTCAAATAAATTGGTTAGTCTCTAAGGTGCCACAAGTACTCCTTTTCTTTTTACCTTATCTGATCACTCTCCTTACAGTGTGTATGGTAACACCCACTGTTTCATGTTCTCTGTGTATATAAATCTCCCCACTGTATTTTCCACTGAATGCATCCGATGAAGTGAGCTGTAGCTCACGAAAGCTTATGCTCAAAGCAATTTGTTTAGTGCCACACTAAGGACTAAGGTGCCACAAGTCCTCCTTTTCTTTTTGCGGATACAGACTAACGTGGCTGCTGTTCTGAAACCACTCCAGAAAGAGATCTTGGAGTCATTGTGGATAGTTCTCTGAAAACATCCACTCAATGTGAAGCGACAGTCCAAAAAGCTAATAGAATATTAGGAACCATTAGGAAAGGGAGAGATAATAAGACAGAAAATATCACAAATCCACTATACAAATCCATGAGATGCCCACACCTTGAATACTGAGATCTGGTCACCCTATCTCAGAAAAGATATATTAAAATTGGAAAAAATATGGAGAAGGGCAACAAAAATGATGAGGGGGATGGAGCAGCTTCCGTATTAGGAGAGGTTAAAAACACTGCGGCTGTTCAGCTTGGAAAAGAGACAACAGGGCGGGGGGGGGGTATGATAAAGGTCTAAAAAACCATGACTTGTGCTGAGAAAGTGACTAGGGAAGTGTTATTTACTCCTTGACATAACACTAGACCCAGGAGTTATCCAATTAAATTAATAGGCAGCAGGTTTAAAGCAAACAGAAGGAAATACTTCTTCACACAGCACACAGTCAACCTGTGGAACTCATTGCCAGAGGATGTTGTGAAGGCCAAAAGTATTACTGGGTTCAGAAAAGAACTAGATCAGTTCATGGAGGACAGGTCCATCAATGGCTATTAGCCAAGATGGGCAGGGACACAGCCCCATGCTGCGGGTGTCCCTAAACCTCTGACTGCCAGAAGCTCGGACTGAACAACAGAGGATGGATCACTTGATAATTGCCGTGTTCTGTTCATTCCCTCTGAAGCACCTGGCACCGGCCACTGTCAGAAGACAGGATACTGGGCTGGATGGACCTTTGGTCTGACCGAGTCTGGCCATTCTCATGTTCTTATTTATGGATTTATGGGTTTATATGGTGGTTGAGTTAGAGAAGAGTCACTCCACTGCAGTGGATCTGCGCCCGCTGCTGCACTTACCGCGTCAGAGTACAGCCGATTAGGGACACTGGGTGTCTGCTGGTCAGTGCAAACCACCTTCTTCATCTCCTCGAAGCTGGGGTCGCTTGGGACCATGTCAAAGAAAGGAGGCCTGTAGTCCTCCACGATCCCTGCCGGAAGAAGAGAGGGCAGCAGGTGAGGAAAGCTGGCGTGGTCACGGGGGCAGGCAGCACGAACGGCCAGCGCCACGCACCAGTGACCGTAACTCACCAGCAGCCACAGGACACACAGCAGGAGCGTGCTACCACTCAGGCACGTGTGCATGTGTGTGCGTGCGCACGTTTGCACCACTGCCCTCTGCTGGATGGACCTGGACCTGCTGAGTGCTTGTTGATAGGGAGATGAGCCCTGCTCCTAGCACCGGACTAGGGACGGGAAGGACGGACTCTCATTAATCCCATGTATTGTGGTGCCTGAGGCCCAGCCAAGACTGGGGCCCCTCGTGCTCGGTGGTGTGCGGCGTACAGACCGTCGTGTCTCTGGAGGAGCTGAAGCACGGGGTGAACTGCTCACACTGATGCCCACGGAAGTTTTGCCACTGATATCAGTGGGGCCAGGATTTCGCCCCAGGGGCCCTGTCCCCGTGCTCTCTGTACCGACAGTGGTATGTGTGGATGTGGCTGCAGAGCGCCACAGACCCTCCTCGTGGTATGGACATGTCGGAGCCTGCACGGGCCGAGCCAGTCAGCGGGGCACTAACACCAAGCTCTGCATCCTGGAGGGCACGAATCCTGACGGGGGCATGTAACGAGAGCAGGCATGGCACCGATGCGCAGCACAACGGGATGTGCGACACGAACGTGCTCGCACCCCGGGCCCAGTACTCGCACCCCAGGCCCGGAGCTCGCAACCCGGGCCCAGTACTCGAACCCCAGGCCCAGAGCTCGCACCCCAGGCCCAGTACTCGCACCCCGGGCCCAGAGCTCGCACCCCAGGCCCAGAGCTCGCACCCCGGGCCCAGAGCTCGCACCTCAGGCCCAGTGCTCGCACCCCGGGCCCGGAGCTCGCACCCCGGGCCCGGAGCTCGCACCCCGGGCCCAGTACTCGCACCCCGGGTCCAGAGCTCGCACCCCAGGCCCAGTGCTCGCACCCCGGGCCCGGAGCTCACACCCCGGGCCCAGAGCTCGCACCTCAGGCCCAGTGCTCGCACCCCGGGCCCAGAGCTCGCACCCTGGGCCCAGAGCTCGCACCTCAGGCCCAGTGCTCGCACCCCGGGCCCGGAGCTCGCACCCCGGGCCCAGTACTCGCACCCCGGGCCCGGAGCTCGCACCCCGGGCCCGGAGCTCGCACCCCAGGCCCCGTGCTCGCACCCCGGGCCCGGTACTCGCACCCCGGGCCCGGTGCTCGCACCCCGGGCCCGGAGCTCGCACCCCGGGCCCGGAGCTCGCACCCCAGGCCCGGAGCTCGCACGCTGTGGGAGCTGACCCACAAACGACACCGCCCTGACTCCAGATTCACGCTGGCTTAGCGCAGATCAGGTGCAGCCTGCGCTGGTTGCGTGGCCAAATCAGACCCTGGGTGGAGTCCTGCCTTGGCTCCCCAGTGCTGCAGAGGAGGATGCACCAAGCCTGTCGTGAACACCTCAGTGCTGCTCATAGGGAGGGGAACCCCCCGACCCCGGGTCTCCCTCTGGATCTGGCTGCAGTTGCAGGAAACCAGGGGCCGTTCAGATCATCTGGGAACCTTGTCTTAGACGCAGCCCCCACCTAGTGGTGAACGGGAGGCCAGGCAGCTGCTCACCGCAGACCAGCCAGCAGCTGGCCCGGGCTAATCCATATTTAGTGCCTCCATATGTCTTTCTGCCAGAGATTTAACCCTTTTTGGCTGCCAAAGCCCTTCCAGTGTCCCATCAGCCCACTGCAGTGGGAAGTTCCTATCTGGCGCCTCACGAGCCTCCGTCAAAAAGGGATCGGAAGCCTCGGGGCAGAGGGTGTATCCCTCACGTCACCCTGCGCCCCCCCCCCTCCCTCTTCTGGGAGAGAGGCCTTCGGCCCCGCAAGGGTTAATGGGCGGCCAAGGCAAGGGCACTGCTGGGTTAGTTAAGTGAAGTGTTTAATCTGAGAGTGCCTGGGAGCCGTAAATGAGATTAGCCCCGCCAGCCTGCGCCTTGTGGGAGATGCCACCTTGCCCCCAACTTCCACCATTTAATGAACTTTCCTGCTGGTGAAAGGTGCCAGCTGGACACCCGAGAGACCGCAGGCCTCTGTGTGTCCACCTGGGTCAACCGTCCCCCTTGCCTGTGTCCCTTAGCCCTGCCCCGGAGGGAGAGATGGGCTCTGTGGCGCTCATCCAGGCCTGGGCCCGTCTTCTGAGGCCGCCACAATGAGTGTGTGTGTGTGTGTGTGGCGGGGGGCATTCCATTGCCAGGGATATGGACTGAAGACACCACTTCTGGGGCCAGGCTCACTCTCTGCGGAGCCCCAAGCTGCCAGAGGGCGAGAGGACCGTGCCTGGGGGATGTCCTAGCTGCAAAAGCTAAGCCCGCCCCCCCATTCTGACACTGCTACTACAGGGGGCGAATGGGGCAGGGGAGGTGAATTCCCAAAGCCCTGGAGAAGGAGTCTGCATCTGGCCCATCTGCTCTTGGGTGATTGCACAACTTCAGCCCCATTGCCCTCCCCCAAGAAGCATGCCCTCCCTGCCATTCCCATCCCACAACAGCTGCTTCTGCCCAAGGCCAGCACTGACCAACCCCTGGCTGTGACAGGCCATGGGGGAAATACCCTGGGTTAACCAGCCCATGATCCAGAGGAGCTGGAAGTCCCCTGGATGTGGCCAGGTTCCAAGCAGTCCTCTGATGCTGCTTGTTTTCTAATCAGTGTTGAGCAAACAAAGCGCTGATTGAGTCTAATGGGCCCTTTAATCAGGGAGCCGGGCGCTGACACTAGATTACAGTGTTTATAATTTACAGCTAATCTTCGGGCAAAAACCACCCAGAGCAGCCGAAAACCTTCATGGTAACAGCCCTGAGCAGCATTTATTTCTGCACTGGGAGCCTCGCTAACTCACGGGAGGATGCGGCTCTCACTCCAGCCTGCCGCTCGCTCAGCCTCTCCGCTGTGGCTGCAGCCACAGGCTGTGCCAGGCTCCTAAACAGACTGATTTACCCCGCTGCAAAACTCAGGACATGCGATATTGCCGACTTCCTATGAAAACAGGCAGTCCCAGCCTCAGCCCGTCCAGTCAGAGCCCAGGTCTTTCTCTGCAGGTTAGGATGTATTATCTTTTGAGGTCGTACAAGGAGCCCCAGTCATGGCCCGGGAGACCAATGTGCTGGGTGCTGTACAAACAGAACGAGGAGGCTGTCTGTGCCCCAAAGAGCTCACAGTCTGGGTATAAGACAGTGAATATAGAAGGTTAGCAGAATAAATAGGACCCTCTTAGGTGTCTGTGGGCATCAAGATATTCTGTGCATATATACAGACGAGGGACCCCAAGGCAGTCTCTGGGTACTCTAAAAGGACAGACAGGTGTGTGCATATCTATAGAGAAGGGTCCTTGTATCACATCCACATTTGTGTGTCTGTGCATGTGGTGAGAGAATTAGGAGCACTGCGTCTCACTGCCCAAAGCCCCCCCCCAATTGCCCCTTACCGTTAACAACTGTCCTCCGGGTGATTTCCCAGAGCACCAGACCATATGCCCAGATATCTGTCTGCTTATAGGATTCGAAGCAGTCGGTGCGGATTTGTTCGTCCAGGACCTCGGGGGCCATGTAGCGTTTGGTGCCAACCCGCGGGTTGTTTCCAATGTCCAGGTAGTCGCTGCCCTGGGAATGCATGACCGCCAGCCCTGAAAGGAAGCAGCATCCCGCAGGCTGAGATGGAGGACATGGGGGGGCCTGGGTTTTCACTCCTCTCTCTATGAGGGAATCTGGGCCTGGCAGAGTTTTCTGCTTACAGCCCAGGGAAATCCATCTGGGATCAGTACAGCCTGTGTGTACCTCTGTCTCCCGTGGCGATTTGTTCTTTCTTTCCTTCCCTGGCTTATCCCATTTGCCTCCTTTCTGCTGATCACCGGGGCTCCGAAGGAGGGAGGGGGGGGGGGGATATTTATTGTCACATGGGAACTGACACCTCCCGAAACACTACCATTTTGTTCTGGGGAAGAAAAAATACCCCGGAGTTGACCTCACTTGCATTTGAACCTGTGACTCCAGGGGATTAAATATTTAAGCCCCGATGAGCAGACCATCCCCTCCACTGGCAGAGGAAACAGCCTTTGCTTTCATCACCCCTTAGAGATGCACCGGCCCTTTCACCACAAGGAGCGCAGGTGAAAGGGAATCCAGACAGCGGTTAGGGGCAGATGGGACAAAGGTCCGAGATGGTCAGTTCCTCTGTTCCCCAAGCAAGATGACATGCAGAGCTGGGTTACAGCCCTGGCTCTGGCCCCGTAGATCGATCCCCCTTCCTCACCCAGGTCTGCAATGCAGCACTGCATGTTGTTCTTCACCAGGATGTTCCTGCTCTTCAGGTCCCGGTGCGCAATGGCTGGTTTCCCCTGGGTCCCGAAGATCTCCACGTGCAGGTGGACCAGGCCGCAGATGATGGAGCAGGCCAGCCTCAGGCAGGTCTGGGCGTCCAGCACTGTCCTCTGCAGGTAGTCATAGAGTGAGCCATTCTCGTGGTAGTGAGTGATGAGCCAGAGCTGGGTGCTAGAGTTCCTGGACGTCATGTCAGAGGCGATGAAGCCTAGAGGGGGACAAAGCAGAAGGGGCCATGGAACAGGGGGGCACCAGCAGGCCGGGCGCCACATAAACACCCTCGTGGGCTGCTACTCACCCAGGATATTGTCATGCCTGAGCAGCACCGTGTTGTAGATCTCCGTCTCACGGAACCACGACTGCTCGTCCCGGGAGGAGAAGATCTTCACGGCCACGTTCTCCCCGTGCCAGACGCCACGCCACACCTCCCCGTAGCGCCCTTTCCCTGCCATGACACGGACACGGCGTCACGCTCCCCTGCTAGTGCTGAGCGAACCCTGGTGACAGGCTCAGGTGGGGCACCCCTGCCCCACCTCAGCCACTCCTAGGCTAAGGTTTTACGTTCTTTGTGGATCAGTGACTAGAGGCAAGCTGGTTCCATGGCTGAGCCAGTGCACTGCACCCTCTGACAGCCACTGGGCAACCCAGCAGCCTCAGGCCATCAGAGAATGAACCTCGTCACCAGCAAATTGCCAGAACCTTTCTTTGGCTTCATAGGGTCTAGCCTGGCCCACTAGGGGCTAGGACAGCTGACTTCATGCCCAGGCCTGGCATATACAGTCATGGGGATAAGCTGGGTACCTCAGTGCCCAGGCCTGTCTGCTAATGGAAAGGCCAGGTCCCGCAGGGCCAGGTCTGGTCTGTAGGGCTGGGGGTCAGGCCAGGTCCCTCAGGGCCAGAGCCCAACCCATCGGATATCAGGGATTAGGGGTTAGGAAGAGCCCAGCTCCAGCCCAATACCTGCTTGTCCTTCCCCCTCCCTCCCCCCATACTAAGCATCTCCAGAGGGCCCTGGGCTAGCGGGGGGGTAACAGAGACGGCCTTAACCAGAGTCCAAAGTTTGCCCCGGGGGTCAGGATTCATGGTCTCATCTCCAGCTGCTCCCGGGAGGGGAGCTTGGGGCACGCCGGGCTCCCTGGCTGAAGGAACCAGGTGGCAGCCGAGCCAGGGGGACCCTCCTTCACTGCGTGCAGGTGCCAGAGGCGGGCGCGGTGGCGGGTTTCCTACCTACGCATTCCACCAGCGTGATCTGCCGGGCTACAGTTCTTTGAACAAGAAAGGGCAGCCCGGAGCCGCTGCCCGTCGTGCAGTCCTCGCTCAGCAGGCCCTGAGGGAGAGGTCACTGGCGGTCAGTCACCGAGGGCGCAGCACGGCTAGTGGCACAGTAACCCCGCAAGCCACGTTAGATCCCTCCACTTGCTCACTCCATCCCTTCGGCGACCACGGCACGCGGGCACGGGGAGCGTTGAGGTAGCGGGGTGCACAAGGGTGGTGAGGCTGCCTAGAGGCGATCTGGGGCTAGAGATGGGGCACATGGGCACAGTGATGGGGGCAGATGGAGTGAATTTATGGATTTTGGGTGGGGATTGGTGCATCGCTGTCCAAAAATGTAGTATTCAGTCTGTTTATATGGAATATGGGAATTGGGTGAGGAGCCATTTTAGCATATGTATGACTGATTAAAGGACAAATTTTAAGTAGAACTGTATCCTAAACTGCTTTATGGTGTTGTACCTAAACATTGTATTTCAATGGGGGATTCAACTTCCTTTATAGAACAGAACAGACTCCTGAAACTCTTACCAGCCCGCAAAAGTGGTCCATAGTCATGCAACTAGTCCTATTGCCTTCAATGCGATTGATCAAATGATTAAGGGTTTACAGGATTAGGTTCCAAGTTTGTAAATTGTTCTGGATGAAGCGGACAATGCCTGGGCTGTCAGATCAGAAGGGGTGTCATTCGAATAGAGGTGGGCAGATATGTGAAACGTCTTAGCTCCGTTGCTAAGATGAGGCACATATGATCAGCAAAGTTCTTGGCAGATTCCTGAGGCAGCTGGTTTAAGGCTGTCAGTGTCCGGCATTATCATCTTCACTTATAGTTCTCTCACCCACAAAGCTGGAAAAGGAGGCATTTGTTTTCTTTGTTTTGCTGCTCCAGTTCCAGGTAACAAAATGCATGTTAGACTAGTTTGGCTGCAAAGAAGAATTCTGTGTACACTGGGGACAACACCTGATTCTGGTCGGGCTGCAGAACTGGGCTGACATCAGAATCCAAACATCCGCTGGTCAGGGCATGCAGAGGCATTGCTCTAATGATTTGGACTTGATGTGATGCAGTATGGATGTGTAGTGGGATGGCTGCCCCACTCCAGGAGAGCAGGGGTTAAAGCAGCCCTTGTTAAGGCCTAAGTAGGTACTGGGGCTGCAGAGGTGCAGCCCGGTGATGGGCAGAGGCAGCTGATCCATCCCTCTTGCCAGTGATGAGTGTCCATGACAGACTGCCGTCTGCCCCAGAGAAAGGGGGCAGTAGCCACTGAGGCAAGATGGGCATAGGGAGAGGGGGTTTCCCTGGGAGGGGAGACCTAGAGTATGGGGGCACTGCCGTGGGCAGAACCCCAAGGTAAAGGGCACCGTGACCCGGGAGGGACACAGGGGACTGAGGTAGGAGAGACACCGGCCAGCAGGGGGCACTCCGAGTGCTGGAATTGAGCTACTTCCCAGACAACCAGCAGGAGGCGCCGTGCCGGTGAGTCAGTGGCCGGCTAGAGGATGTCACGGATAATTCAGACCAATGGGGAGCAACAGAATAAAAACCACTGTTTAAACACCCTCTCTCTGCACCACCCCTCCCCTCTTGAGGACTCCTGACCAAGGTAACAGCACAATACATACGCTAACAAACTTAAACAAAGCCGTTTGTTAGCATCTATATTGTGCTGTTAAAGCCGTTTAAAGAACGACTGTCCTCCCTAGCCCGTTCTGCTCCTTTAAGGAGCGGTGCGCAGTCCCACCTCCCCTCCGGAGGAGCGGGCAAGCCCCAAGGTTTCCAGTACCCCAGACAGCTAAAAATCTCCTGCTGGCAGTGCCTACTGGAGGGTACGGCCCTACTTGCACTTCTGAATGTTGTATCCTCTTAGTTAGGGAGAGAGCCCTTGACCGTGACACAGAGATGGGCTCTGGCCGCAAAGTTTGGGTTTGGATCCAACCTCTCCAGAATTCTGGGGCATTTGGATCTGGGGGGTTTGCGGGGTGGGAGCCTGTCTGTGGCCGTCTCCATTTCAGGCTGTTCAAGGCTCACTCACCTCTAAGGTGCTGTCTCCGACCATGGAGGCTTTCAGCATGATGTCTGTGTCCCCCAAGTCATCATGTCTGATGAGAAGCCGGTTCCTGCGGTGCTGAGCCAGCTTCCAGAAGGAGAGCGTGACGAGCGTGGCGAGCACGAGGAGGGCCAGCACGGGGACGAGGACCATCAGGAGAAGGTTCCTCAGAGAGGCAGGTTCTTTGGGCTGCTCCTGGCCTGAGGGGAAGAAAAGGACCAGCTGTGGGGGAGTCCCGGGGCAAATGCAGTATGCCTGGAGTCAGAGCAGGGGTCAAGTCTGGACGGAACAGGCACTGGGGTCTGCAGCTTGGTTTCTGTGCTCCTGTGCTGGGACAGGGAGGGGGCTTCAAGCCACCTTTCTCTTTCTCATATTCTAGAGCCATGCAGGGCCATGGTATAAGTTAGAGCAGCCGCGGGGCTGCTAGGAGCCTTCCTCTCCGCGGGTGTGAAAGGGCCAGCCCTACTCCCCAGCAGCCCTGAGCAATTCAGGGGCAGCAGGCAGAGAGCCCCAGAGTCCCAGTTGTCTGGAGAGCGGACAGCAAATGTCACCCCAGTTCCTGCTGACAGCTCTCCTCCCACTGAAGGAGGGGGGCAGAGCCTGCTGGGCTCCAGTGAGCACATGCTGATGTTGGGGCAGGGATGCAGCAGCCCAGGGCTTGAGCTCGGGGCTGGGAGGCACCTGAGCTGAAGGGCAAGGCCAGAGGGGCACCAGGGCTGCCTCAGGGTGATTTCCGGGGAAATTCCTGACTCCCCAAAGGCTGTCGGGGGGTACCCCAAGGCAGGGGGTGGGAGCCTGGGACAAGCTGCCAGAGAGGGCAGCCCCCTGCACCCAGCCACACCAGGGACCCAGGACACGGCTGGGCTGTACCTTTCAGGAAGACACTGATGTTCTCATTGCACATGCTGGAGCTGCAGCAGTTCATGGTGTATTCTGCCATGGCTGCAATCTGGCAGCGCTCCAGGATATGAGAACTCAGGCAGCCCTTGCCCTGGGTGGCCTTCCCGTTCTCCAGGTGTTTGCTCACAAAACACATCTTCCCCAAGCAGGTGGCATTTTCACACTCCTGCGAGTCACAGGCGCACATCAGCTCCTCTGTGGGACACAAACGAGACGGCACGTTCACAGACGGAGCCAAGCCGGGCTGGGCCCACAGGACTCTCCCCACATTACATCCGCCGCTCCCTGAATGTCATGGGAGGACTCTGAGTGGGCTGGGAGACAGGTCATTAGTAAACGCTGGGGGACACAAACCAGCTTCTTGTAACAGCGAGTCTCACGTTGCTGAGGGTTGGCTAGTCGAGGCCGGGCCATGCAGGCCAGCTTTTCAAAGAAGCCAGCACACTGAGGGCAGGTCGAATGCTGGGCAGTTCTTAAGAGTGACCCCAGTTCTAGGTGCTGATCACCAGAAAATCTGCCCCTGAGATCTTCTGAAAATCCAGGCTCAGACTGGTAGATAAATAGCTAAATAAATAGCTAGATAAATGTGATGGATAGATGAGAAAGAATTTGGGGATGGGATCAAACCAGGATATTTGTCTCTGGGGCTTTAACTTCAGGAAGGTCAGGGTTTTTTGATCCAGCTGTTTTTGTTCATCCCATTGCAATTTCACTTCTGGGTTTGGACTCTGAGCCCCACTCAGGGGAATTTGGATCTGGCATTTGGATCTTGATCCTGTCTCTAAACCTGGGCCCTAAGGTTATGCCTGGAACCCGCACCCCAGAATCTAGGCTTGGGCCAATCATCATCATTAAGGCGTCCCCAAGGTGGGAGCAAAGTTGAGACCCGAACCGGGACTTCACCATTTTGGGGTGTTTTGGCTCATCAGAGTCAGGCTGGAGCTGCAAGCTCTGACCCCGAGCAAGGTTTCAGGTCTGAAGCCCCAGTGCCCTGGGTAGGCTGTGGTCGGGATCTGGCCTGTTTCACAGCCTGGGCTCATCTCTAATGCGAACCCTCCAGTGTCTCACTCTGCACAGAGCTCTCTCACCTGGACTCTCCCATGGCGCTGGCCCTAACAACAGGGCCTCAAATAGCTCCTCCTTGCTTCAGCCCTGGGTAGCTGTGAGCAGGGTGAAGAAGATACCCCCGGGTTGGGGCTGAGCAGTGGCGGAGATGAACACTATCCCCAGCAGACTGGGGTAACTGGAGGGGGTGAGGACACTGTGAGAGCTGCCCAGTTAATAGCCCAAGACAGCATCTCCATCACTCAGGAGCCCACCCTAGGGAAAAGCTCGAGGTATTGAAGGAATACTCCCTGCGTCCCATCTCTCATTTCATGTCTCCAGCCCTTTCCATCCAATGATCTCAAAGCATGTTATGAACCATAGTGAACTAACCCTGGGTGGGAGGTCAGCGACATGTGAGGAGAAACATCACGCCCAAGGTCACATGGCCAGTCACCAGTACAGCGGAAATAAAACCCAGGAATCCTGACTCCCAGCTCCTTCCTCTGGCCTCTAGGCCGTGCTGCTTCCCCAGGCAGACACACGGGGTATGAGTTAATTGCCTGGGATGGTGACTTATTTTGAGAGGTGAGTAAATAAATAAACCTCCAAATCTCCTGCCCTTTATTTCAGTTTCCTGCATGCCACAGAAAGAAACAGCCGTGCTCTGGGACCACTGCACTGTCGTTAGTCACTCCGGCTATTCTGCTACCTACCAGCTGGAAAGCTCCTTGGGACAGTCAGAACAGCCAGGAGAAAGCTCCCGATGGCTCCTTGCAGCATTTTCTCTGGAGAAAACAGAATGGATGAATAGCGCAGTCTCACAATTCTGCAGCCTCTTTCACCTGGAGGCTCCGAAAGCACTTCGCAAATGCAAATGATATTATTATCATGCAGCTTCATTGTATATAGGGGGTCACTTCATGCATCCCTGAAATGCAGCCACATCTGGGCTGGAATGGGTCAGCTACTTACCAGTCGCTCGGCAAAGCTACACAATGGCTTTCGAGAGGAAATAAAGGATTCTGTAGTCAACTGAAATTGCCGGGGCGGGGGGGGGCAGGATGTAGGTAGGTAGGATGGAATTATCCAGAGTGGAACTTGGCCAGGATATCACAGTTACCACCTCTTCCTGAGAGCGATTCCAGGAGATCTTTACGGCACACAACTGCATGAAAACCCATTCCAGCTAAACCCAGCCTCCAGAAGCTCAGTCCGCATTGGTAATGCGTGTCAATACAAACCCTGCACTGATTGACAGCAGTCCACTTGTATCCAGAAGGGCAGCAGACAGGAATAGGGTAGTAGACCTTTACATGTTTTGAGCAGCCGTGTGGTTGTCGCTAGGTCTGGCACGTGTGTAGTAAGCATGGTTCCCTACTTGTGACCCAGCTGTGTCCCGGCGGTGCCTTCATGTTCTGTTGTCATGTGAAGAGCGAGAGACAGACCGATCAGCCTCTTTTCACTCCAGCACTGTGTGCGGCTGTGCTTCCTCCCCCCCGGGAAAGCTACGCCAGAGCGCTGTGCAGCCTGCAGGCCTCCCTGCCGCTGACATGCTGCGGCCATCTCTGGAGGGGAGCACCGCACCCAACTTGCACCAGCAAAGCTCCAGTTTTAAAACGGGGAGCCAAGAAGTTCCACGCGACCGGATCACTACCACAGCGGGGGCAGTGTCGGCAGCAGGAACTAAGGGGGACCTAGGAAGTTCAAAGGGGAGCCAGGTAGTAACAGACGTAACGGGATGCAGTGGGGCCAAAGCAGGGCAGTGCAGCTAGCGGGAGTTACCTAGGTCTAAGCGACAGGTTGCACAGGATCAAAGAGCAATGGCTCTGAAAGGCCTGACGAAGATGGGCTCACCTTCCCCTCCCCCAGGCTCCCCCGATTGCTGCTGGGTGCCCTGCACCTCTCTTCTGTGCATCAAAGTCAGAGCTTCTAAGGCCAGAAGGGACCCCCAGACCCCTAGGCTGACCTGCATATCGGGCCATGAAACCCCACCCAGTGACCTCGGTACTGAGCCCAGTAATCTGTACTAGACAAAAGGAGACCAAAGGGTGGTGTGACACAGGCAGGGAAATACGGGGGCTCATGGCAATGGCAAGGAGCTGATCTGGTGTGATGTACAGCTCCATGGGCCTGCTCCGAAGTATCCTTCGGGCCAGCTGTGCTTTATGGAGACTCACGGACTGGGTCCTCCAGCGGGCTTTGGTATCAGGCTTATCAGTGATACAAATACACTTGTCACAGGCAGCCAAAAGTTTCCCAGCTGCTCCAATGGAGAGGGAGGGCTTTTTGTTTTTTAAATTCTTCCTTGTAAAAAGGAAATTCTTGCCAAACTAAACATGATGAAGACTTGACCTCACCACTGTCCCCAAGCTTTCCAGACCCACTTCCTCCCCACCGTGCAGCCGTCTCCTTTGCTTCTGGATCCCTTTCTAAATGGACGAGCCCCTGGGTCCTGGGAGCCCAGGGTTCTCCACCCACCTCCGTCTGTGATTTCTACATAAACAGGCTGATGGCTCCGTTTCCTGCAATTCACGGAGCCCTGCCCATTGCCCGCCGCTTAAGCCAGAACAGGAATCAAGATTGTTTAGATTCTGGCCTTGATGGGAAAGGGGAGTCACGCAAACACACACAGCTCCAAGCCGCACAAACAGATATCTGGCCCAGACAGCAGCTCCGTGGCTCCAGCCATAGGGCAGCCTCGCAGGGACCTTTCCTCCCCGAAATAACTCGCTTTGTTGTTGCTCCCAGAGGGGAAACAGAGATTCAGCTCCAGTGGGATACAGGGCTGGGAGCGAGAGCCACCTCCAGCCCAGGGAACCTGCGGCTTTTGTGGAGAAAGCACCAGCAGGCAAACATCCCGTTCAAGGGTGAGCAAAGGGGTTGGATGCGTCTGCAGGCTGAACCCATGCTGGGCGACTGGGTTCTCTAAGCCCCGTCCCCCAAACACTGCCACAGACAGGGCAACGTTCCTGGCGGGGGAGAGAGAGGTGCTCCGCAGCAGCTGCGCCCTGAACCAGGGACAGTCACATGGGCTGCACCCCAATCTCACCTGTCCCACAGCCCGGACCCACTGCAGACACCATGGCACAGATTCAGCCCTGATGTAAGCAAAACCCACTCCTGACGGAATCCAAGTGCAAGCTCACTCCAGGTGGCACCTGACCCTTCATCTCAGACAGTTTGGATCCCCCCGGCTGGAGGCAGGATCCTGCAGTAGTAATTGCAACCTCCATGGTGCCCAAGTTTGGACGGCTGCTGTCCTGGCAATCTAGGCCCCATCCAGAGCCAGGCCTTGGACTCCAGCCTGGAGACAAAGGAAGCTCCCAGGAAATGGGCTGTGGGCTTAGAGGCACCTCCAAAGGTCTGGGCCCAGTTCTGGTTAGTTCCTGTGATCCATTACCTCCCCTCTTCCTGATCTCATAGACTCAAAGGTCAGAAGGGACCATTGTGATCCTCTAGTCTGACCTCCTGCACATCGCAGGCCACAGAATCTTGCCCACTCACTCCTGCAACCTCTGACTGTGTTAGCCAAGTCCTGAAATCATGATTCAAAGACTCCAAGTTAGAGAGAATGCACCACTTACTCTAGTTCAAACCCGCAAGTGCCCCATGCCCCGTGCTGCAGAGGAAGGTATAAAACCCCCAGGGTCTCTGTCAATCTGACCGAGGGGAAATTCCCTCCCAACTCAGCGATCAGTTAGACCCTGGGCCCGTGGTCAAGACCCGACGGCCAGACCCCTGGGAAAGCATTCTCTGTAGAACTCAGAGCCCGCCCCAGCTAGTGTCCCATCTCCAGCTGCTGGAGGTATTTGCTATTGGCAGATGCAGAGGAGCCGTCCGCTATTGATCTCCTTCCTTCCTTCCTTCTTGTCCCTACTCTTTCTTCCTCCCTTCTCTCCTCTTCTGTGTTCTCTGATCCCTCCCCCCCGCCTTCGTCCTCTTTCCCTGTCTCTCACACGCTAACACAGATGGCTCTGTAAGCTCCACAGCCTGGATGTGGTAACATTGCTCCAGAGACCCAAACCATCTCTGTCACAAGTAGCCTCATGACCCAAGCCTGAGCTCTCTGGTTCTCATCAGTATCAGAAACACGGTCTGCAGGGAGGAGGAGGGGGTCCTGAGAACTGCTGAGAACTCACTTTATTCTGCTGCTTTCCAAACAGCTGCTTCTAGAAGGAAGCTTCTGCTCCAGAAACTGAGATTTAATTTCCTGCACCCTCTGCACTAGTGACTCACCATTCACATGTTCTCTGTCGTTGGCTCACCTCATTAGGTCTCCACACCACGGCCTCAGTGTCTCTGTGCCGGCTGGTACTATGGCCCCTCAACTCAGAACCAAGTGCAGGGCTCGGGACAGAGAGCCTAGCACAGAAGTCAGCGTCACCGATCCCAACAGCTCCAGAATCAGGAGTCAGGCCCCAACGTATTACGAGACTGGCTTACAGATTGTACGATTTTCAAAGCTACTGTACTTGAGGCTCGTTACCTTCTGGTTTGTGAGCCCTTAGGGGGGCACTTGAGACACATTTCCAGGCTTTTCTCTGCAATCATGCGGGCTAGAAATGTACTTTTTTCATTTTAATTGGAAGTTGAGACTCCTCCATCATCAGTCTCCTCTCAGAGCAGGGGCTTGATGTGAAATCTTGGCCCCCACTAAAGTCAATAGGATTTTTGCCATTGTAGTCAATGGAGCCAGGATTTCACCCTAAATATTACAAGACTGGTGAAAAAAGTGGCAAGACCTGATTCTTAGAGCCGAACTTCCTCTCTGGATTATTTCTAGAATCAACCCCCTGGATCCAAGCACCAAAACCCAGTGCACCGAAATGCTTGAATGTCACCCTGCAGACTATCCTGCAAGCATGGGGAACAGAATGAAAGTGTCTGCCCGGGAGCAATATCCCCATCCCAAGCCAACTGAAGCACAAAAGGGTCCAACAGATGGCAGCATCAGTGGTGGAAAATCAATTCGAAGTTTCAAATCCTTTCAGTTTTAATAGCCCTGAGAGTTAGTAACACAGGGAAGAAGAATTTTTAACAATTGTTGTTTCCCTGGAAGGGTTGATGGCTACCATTAATCACAGAACTGATTAAACCTGAAGGGTGTGCTGACCACCTTTCATTCACGCTAAATGCAAGAAATGAAGCCCCTTTTATGTAGTGATAGTTGGACACAATAGAAGCCACCACCCAAGTCACTGGGCTGCGTGGCAAAGCTTCATCAAGAAGGAACCCAGGGAGAATAAATGGGGTTTCTCTATGACAGACTGAAAATGCAGGGGCTAAAGGATTTTTTGACATGTGAGAGAAGCAGAGAGTCCAGAAAACCAGCAGACAGCATGAGAAACAGTTGTGAGACAGAACTCCTTGGGGCACAGGACTGGCTGGAGAAGCTGGCTTGGAAATTCTAAGGAAACTTTCTGCTCTTTTTTCCTTCTGTGTTTTGGGAAATAGGACCCTGTGTTCATTCACTGTAAATAAACAGGATTACGCCAGAGAAATATCTGACTTGTATCATCAATTTCTTCTCTAATGGAAACAACTAGGCAAGACGCCACGTATTGGCAAGCTGCTCAGGGCAAAAGAAGCAAGGCAACCGTATCTTGTCTGTAACCCTCTGAACCACAAATAAATAAATAGTGGGACCGGATTCTCAGCTTCTGTAAATCGGAATAGCTCCAGTGAAATAAACAGAGCTACATCAGTTTACACCAGCCAAGAACCTGTGTGGGGATAATCAGAGTTAAAGCAACTTTAATTCCACCTCTTCCCCGCATGTGCTATTGATATGATTTATAATGCAACAGCATGCCAAGCATTTAAGATGTTATGCTACGGTGTCCTACATAATCACAAAAGAAAGCAGGCCGATGTAATGACCTATCCAAGATGCTTCTATTAAGAACGTGGGTGGAGAATGCACAGTTAACATTTCTTTGAAAATGGAAGTGCACTCGGAGCGGCAATTCCCCACAGGCCACTCTGGCGCAGAGCATACAAGGAAGCAGGGCGATGAATGCTTGCAGATGTGTCGCTGTCTTTCCTTGACCCCCTTGGCCCGACAGCCTCCTCTTGCAAGCAGCGTGCCAGCCCAGGATGCCACTGCAGCAGTAAGGCCAACCCCGCTCTCTACTCAGCGCAGAGCCGGTCTTAATACACTCTGGAGTGCGTTTAGTGCTGGTGAAAGGCATCAGAGAGAAAGCCCCGAGATCCCCTCTGCACAGGCCCAGTGACCGTGCTTGTAGGCTCCCCTCCTCCACTGCTCCACCAATAAGCCCTAATGGTGCCTTGGCAGGACCATCTGAGCATGCAAAGGTTCAATCCTGGTGGCCCATTCAGGCCTTGGTCCATCTGCTGAGGCTGCCAGCAAGTGCCTTTCATGATGGTGGTTTCTGGGCTGTGGACACGTGTCCGGAAGAAACTAGATCGAGCCCCACCAAACTCCTGATGCACAGACCCCCCAAGCAGTAACTATGTTCTGGTCCCATTGCGCTGGGCTGGATTCAAACCAGCTCCCTGGGCTCGAGACGTTCATGCCTGGCGCCTCCTGCAGCAATCCACGGCTGTGCAAAGCAGGGCTCCGAATATCAGAAAGACAGCCCCTTGCGCTTGTGTAGCTAACCGTCCAGAGCAGCCATGAATTGTCCCCAGAGGGCACTGCCTCACTGCGATAAAAAACCCACCGCGCTGAATCTCAAACCCAGCTCAGTTGACTCGGGCTCGTGGGGGGTGGGCTGCAGGGCTAAGAATAGGTGTGCAGATGCTCCACCCTCGCAGGGTCTCAGAGCCTGGGCTCCAGCCCGAGCCTGGAAAGCAACACTGCAGTTTGGCAGCCCAGAACCCCGAGTCAGCTGGCCCAGCCAGCCCCGGCTGTGCCACAGGCCTTTGATCGCAATGTAGGCACAGAACAAGACCAATGTTTTCCCAGGGGGCCATGGAGTTTGGAAGCTTCAGTTTTGGGGACCGTGATCTTGGGTCTGATTTTCAGAGGTGCAGAGCACCCACAACTTCAGTTGAAGTCACTGGGAGCAGCAGAGCTACCATTAATGGCTACCATTAGCCACAGACCTGGTTAAAACTGAAGGGTTTGCCGACCACCTTTCAGTCATGCTGAACAGAAGAAGCTTTGCATGCTGTCAGCTTTCGGTGCTGATGAAATTGACCATTTCTTCATAATCTGTTTTCCATCTCTTACCTAGTTCCTGACCCGAGATAGCCCTTTGCCTCGGATATCTGGACTACTTAGCACCTTCAGCAACCTCTTATGAGGAACTTTGTAAAAGGCCTTTTTGGAAGTCTAAACTAATTGTGTCCACTTGTTCTCCTTTATCTGTTCTGTTACAGAAAATGGTAGAGAATTTGAATAGATTGGTGAACGTGGTCTTCCTTTTCAGAAGCCGTGCTACTTTGACCCTATCATATCATTAATTCCACCATTTCAGCTAATTTACCAGTCTCTAGTCTGCAATTTACTACATTTCCCCAGAGCCCAGCACCTCTGAGAATCAGACCCCAGAGGATACTTTTGAAGATTGAGACCTAAGCCCTTCTCCTCTTCCCAACACCCTGCCCTAGGTACCAGGTCCCTTCATGCTGCTTGGTTCACACTGGAGAACAGTTTAACTAGCTGACATGAAACCAAACCAAGAAAGAAAAGGAGTACTTGTGGCACCTTAGAGACTAACCAGTTTTATCTAAGGTGCCACAAGTCCTCCTTTTCTTTTTGCGAATACAGACTAACACGGCTGTTACTCTCAAACCAAGAAAGAGAATAATCAACGAAATTATCACCATGGTTCGCACAGTCACACGCTCGCATGGGAGAGATCTAGGGGTTGTGCCCAGCAAACCACGTGCAGAAAAGCCTTTTTTGGTTTTTGAGTGCCAGGATGCATCTCATGACCTGGTTCCTTATTTTTGTTCCCTGAGAACCAGCAGCTGTACAGACGCCTCCCCTCCCCTCCCAGGGCACACGAGCACACTGCCAGCAGCAAGCGCTATTCCTGCCTGGGGAGGCAGCAGATTTAGGCAGTTTCCAGGACACTGCCGCTCTAGGCTGGTTGTCAGAGGTGCTGAAGTTCCCCTTGAGGTCAGAGGCAGCTGTGGGCACTCACAGTCCTCTACAAACCAGGCCATGGGTTGCTAGATCGAAATTTTACTTCAGTGGGTTTTGAACCTAAATTGGGAGAGCTACGGAGATTCCCCTCCCCCATCAGTACAGAATTGGCCAGGTGCACTGAGCAGTGACATCTTCTGCCACTGAAGCTTTCAGGAGCTGCCCAGTGGTCTGATCCCGGGAACATGCTGTTATTCCTAGGGCTAGAGAAAATGTAGAGCTGGGACCCCGAGATCAGATTCGCTTGGCTCGAGGGTCTCCTTCAGGCCCATTTCGGAGCCCGAACTGAGCCTTGGAGCCTTCCAAAGCTTGCTCCAGGGACCTTGGCATGCCTGGTGCAACGTGCCCAGAGCCAGCAGATGCCTCGAGCAGCCGCATTGCACAGCATGGGCTTTGCGCTACCCTGCGCTCGAGGCAGTTGCTACATTAAAAACCAGAGAAACAGGTTTTGTTATTTAAAAAAAATTCAGCCCAGACGCCCCCTCCCCACCCACGTGTTTATTTTCTCTCAAATTCTGTGTGTTAGAGAAACAGGAGGGTGAGGTTGATTTTCTGTTTGTTTGTGCCGAGAACAGCAAGGGTTTAGGTTTTTTTTCTAGCCTGGAAGCTTTTTAGAAACAGTAACAAACAAATCCTGTGAAGCATCTCTGAGCCCCTCCTGGGGTGTGAGTGTGTGTTAGCACCGAACACCCCATTCCAGTCCTGAGTACCCTGCTGAGCTGCAGGAGAGCAGCAGAATGCTCCCCACCCGTTCCTTCCGCACCCCAACCCTGCATTGGCTTTCTCCGCTGGCGCAGCACATCGAGCTAAGGCCGAGCTAGCTGGCTCCTTCTCCTGAGCACTTTAGTCATTCTGCGCAGCGAAGGAGCAGTTCACGGGGCTCCATCCCACGCTGAATTTCATTTCCCACCATGTTCCCCTTAACTTGTTTGGGCCCTCTGACGTTCCACAGTCTTGGCGAACCGACATCGTTTTGTGTTATCTGCAAATTTTGCTTCCTCCCTGCTCCTCTTCTTTTCCGGATCATTCATTAATATCAGCCCCAGCACAGCTCCTGCTGTTAACTTTCGGTGGTGATGAAATTGACCATTTCTTCATAATCTGTTTTCCATCTCTTACCTAGTTCCTGACCCGAGATAGCCCTTTGTCTCGGATATCTGGACTACTTAGCGCCTTCAGCAACCTCTTATGAGGAACTTTGTAGAAGGCCTTTTTGGAAGTCTAAACTAATTGTGTCCACTTGTTCTCCTTTATCTGTTCTGTTACAGAAAATGGTAGAGAATTTGAATAGATTGGTGAATGTGGTTTTCCTTTTCAGAAGCCGTGCTACTTTGACCCTATCATATCGTTAATTCCACCATTTCAGCTAATTGACCAGTCTCTAGTCTGCAATTTACTACATTTCCCCAGCGCCTTTCAGAAAAATCTGCAAAACCTTTGCCGCCCTCCAATTCTCCAGTAAGGCAGCCGATTTTATTGCACTACTTGTCCAGCACTAGACCCACTGCATATTATAGAATTACAGTTTACAGATTGTTTCATCTTCTGAAAGGGGGCACAAGGCCAGATTCTGAGTTCAGTTACCCTTGTGCAAATCCAGAGTCAGCCCACTAACTGCAGTTGAGGTAAACCCAGATTCTAATCTCAGTTGCACAAGCATAAATCAGGAGCAAATTCTGCTGGCTTCAGTACGGTTACTCTGCCTTACATTCAAGCAATGGAGTGGTTCTCAGCGGCAAGTGGTGAGATCTGAGGGAGATCAGAGTCTTAAGAGGAGAGGGACACCCCTTGCTGTGAAAGGGGGACCCAAAGAACCGTCTGTTCCAATGTGTCACGGAGGGGGCAAATCAGGAACAGAACAGAGGGGGTGAGGAGTTACAAATATGGGGCCAGAGTCTCAGCTGCTGTAAGCCAGAGGCGCCCCAGTGAGATCAGGGCTAGGCCACTAGCTGAGGAGCGGGCCCATGACGAGATCTCTGGTAGCGCGCTTTCTGCTTTGGGCAGCAGCCTAAGAAACATCCCGACACCCACAGAGGGAGCAGCTCATTCCAACTCACCTATGGCTTTCCCCCTCTCATTGACAGCACCGGCCCCGAGGAGAGGCTGCTTGTGAGCGGGCGGGTTCTGCAGAGCCTCTGGAGGCGGAAAGGAACCCTGCCAGACCCAAGTCTGGGCGTCCTGTCTCCGGCTCTGCGTCTGCTGCCAGCGGGGCTGTGGGGACCCTTTCCCAGGGCCAGAGGCGATTCTCCTTTGGTTGCAGTATCTGGATCCCGGGCTTCGACAGACAGTTTCCTAGCTCACCCCAGGCAGCTCCCCACTGCGCTGCAAGCTCCAGCCTGAAGCAGATTCATGGGTCAGGCTCCGTTCTCCCCAGCCCACACACCAACCTCCCTAGATTCGCAAAGGGATACTGGCAGGGCAGAGCTTTGGCTCTGGTGTTAGTTCCAGCCGTGGTCGCCTGTCCCAGCCGGGGAGAGGGGTGTGTGCATCTAGGTTCCCTCCCCAGTCCCGGGGGCTCTCCCCCTGTTTTCCAAACGCAGCAGTTTGGCAAGATCTCTGAGCTCTGGATGTGGGAGAAGTCAAAAAATGTTTCTTATTACTGCCTCTTCCTGCCTGGCTTTTCTCCACCACTCCCAGCTAATAAAGCATTTCCTATTGCTGAGCATACAGCCACAGCCTAGCTCCCTTCCTCCTGCACACACCGGGCCCCTGCTCCATCCCGATTGTTCTCCCGCCCGCCCAGTCCCCGTCCAAACAATCCCCCACGCCAGGGTGTGCGGGTGGGCGGTGTTCCTGGCTCTTCCTCAGGCTCCCACCAAATCCGTGTCTGGACAAAGGGAAATGCAGCCTCCTCACAGTCTCCTCACAGAGCAGCCGGGGCCTAGGGGTTTGGCAGCCGTCAAGCTGCCTCAGTTTACTGGGCCGGAGTAGGAGCAGACGAGAGACATTCCGGGAGCGATGCTGGTAGCTCAGGTGGGGCCAGTGTAGGGGCGACCAGTGTGTGGGGCTGGGAAGCAATTGAGGAACTTGTTAGTACCGACTAGTTGGGAAGGAGCCCCGCTCCTTTCAGTCTGTGCTGACCCCAGTGCCCCAGGGCGGCACTGGGGCTGCTGTGCAGCAGGGAGTGATGCAAGTGACTCCGTAGGGGGCGCTCTGCCCTCACCATCAGTGCTCACCCCAATGATCCCTAGGGGGCGCTGTGCTACTCAAAGGTGCTCGGGTGCTCACCCAGAGCCCCAGGGCAGTGCTAGGGCGCGCGGAGCTGCAGGTGCTCTGCCCTTTGAGAGCATGCTGCCCCCAGCCGGATGCTAACGGACACTGTTACTGCTGGGGGCTGCCTTTCACATGGGATGCCAGGTCCTGGTCCCAAAGGCCCCAGAGCCCTTTTTGCAAGAGTTGGGTGTTAACCCTCGTGTTCAAATTCCCACAGGGGGAGGAGAGAGGGTTACTTCCGGCCTAACCGCAAATGTCTCTGGAGCTTCCCTGCAGCGACAGACTTGTGAGGCTGGCTGGCATGGCTGGCAGGGCTCTCTGGGGACCGGAAACAGCACTTCCCCTTTCGCCTTTTTTAATTCATTCTTCTGGGTCATTCTCACAGTCAGCTGATTCTCCCTCTTCCTCTCTCCCATTCAGGGAGCTCTCCTCCAGCCTCAGGCCTCCGGCAGGCTACTTCTTCCTGGCCTCTTAACTCCTCCATTTGGGGAAGGAGCAGGGGGCCAGCTGCACCTGGACTGGCATGACATCCCGCTTTGTAATGAAGTCACAGGGTCCCACGCTGCTCTCCTTAACTTCAGCGAAGAGACGTGACCTCCACAGCAGCGTCCTGGGCTCACACCGTTAAATCTGAGTTAAAGATGCTTCCCTGCAAGCTACAAGCCATTAGATCCTCGCTCTCAGGCCTCCCCTACAACCACTCCCAGAGCTGGGAATAGAACCCAGGGACCTTGCCTCCCTGTTGCCTGCTGTAACCACTAGACCTTAATTGCTCCCAGAACTAGGAACAGAGCCCAGGTGTCCTGCACTTAGACCCACATCACTAAAACTTCGATGCATCAGTTGTGTGGCCCCTGGCCCCTAATTTTTACTGATTGCTGAAGCTATTCCAGGAGATTCCCCCCCAACATGATGTAATGTTATTAGTTATATTGGACCTAGTAAAATCTCCGAGATTGCTTTCCATAGCTACTGGGAGATGGGTGCCGATTTCGGTAGACTCCCGGCAAAGCCGGGAGGGTTGGCAACCCTACATGTGACGTAAACAGCAGGTTTAAAAAACCGGAATGAAACATAAACGGCCCAAATTTTAAACCGTGCCTGTGAAAGTTTCTTGCCTGTTTTAACCAGGGGGAGCTTTCAGTGCCATTGTAGGTTGGGGGAGGGGAAGGGGGGGAGATTTTGTGGAGCCCGAGTCCCTGGACTGGGAAATAAACAGTTTCAGTCTGATTCGGAGGGGGCAGCTGCTGCGCTGAGGCGGAAAGGAAGGCTGGGCATGCAGGGAGCCTGCCTTCACAGCCCCCGATTCCCTAAGCACATGAATGAGCTTTGTTCTGGCTCTGAAACCCCAGCGGCCTGATGGGGATTCGGCACCCCCGGGTTGTTCCTGGCTCGCTCCTGTCCCAGGGCAGGCGTGTTCTGCCACCCCTCCGCTCAGCTGGGAGCGCTCAGGCGGCCCCAAGGAGGTCACTGGGACGGCTGGCTGGCTAGCGGGAAGCACATGCGTCAGCTTCTGCAGAACTGAGGGCCTCTGGCGAGAAGCCCCAAAGGGAATGGGGTGGGAAGGTTCAGACAGCGAGAAAGGACCGCACAGTCTGGGCGCCTTTAGGAAGGAATTCTTAACTCCGGTTCTAACCAGCCAGATGCTGGAGCTGACCCGCCTCCTACTCGCAGGAGAGAGGAGCTTGGCTCTTATATTAGCTCCACTGGTTTATTTTTTAAAAAGGCCGAGTTTGGGGGAAGGGGAGGGGGGGCTCGTTAACTCATTGTTTGCTGGAGGAATATTAAAAAACCCCTCTTCCAAGGCATCGGACCAACGTGCCCACAGCCGTAGACAGTCCAGCACGCAGCACTCCCATGGGACGGAGGCATGCGTGGAACCAGCTACCCGGGAGCCCCTCAGCTGTCATCATGTTGCTGACATGGCCACTCAGACACTGAGCTCCGAGCATCCTGCACAGAAAGCACAGGCCCCTGCCACCTGGGCGAAAGGAGAATCTCCGCGGGGCATTAGCCCGACAGAGCCCGTGAGACACAGTCGGTGTAGCACTGCACAGATATGGGGTTTTATGCTTCCTTTGAAGTGGCTGTCAGAGACAAACGGGTGCCAGGCTGGACACACTTCTGAGGTGCTCCTGCTGGGTTTAAGGGGCTGAGGTTTGTGAAACAGATGTTTGGAACATGGGAACAGAGGCAGCAGGTTCCTGGCATTGCAAAGAGAAAGGCAGCAGCGGCAAAAGACTATGGGACAATACGCCATGCCTCTGAAGATGTCAAAGCACTTCAGATACCCTTGAGTTAATCCTCAGGATCCCCATGCTGTAGGTCATCATCTCCACAGTACAAGATGGGGAAACTGAGGCACGGGAGTGCTGCTTGTTTCAGTGGTCACCAACATCAGCAGAGATTGGGTGCAGGACTTCTGGGTTCTGTTGACATCTCCTACTCGAACCATTCTAGTTCTAACACACATTGAAAACCCACCTTTCTCCCTAGTGGAGACAAGCCCTAAGACATGCTCTCCTCCCAGAGCAGGCACTCAGGCCAGGGCTGCAACCCCGACATTGTATTGATTCTCAGAGCCATGAACACAACCCAAGAAGCCTGAGGGTGAGGCCATGTCTCGAAATACTACAGCACGCACCCTCCAGGAAACCAACCCTGCACCACAACCCTTCACCTGGGCAGCCGGGGCCTGGCAACTCCAGATCTGCCAACTGAGAAGTCCACAAACTAAACTAAAGCAAAAATACGACGACCGGTCCTGGGAAAGCATCGTGAGCATGCAATGCCAGGCTGGAAACTGCAGCAGGACAGGGCCTCGGTGCAAGATTTCTGCTACCCTCTGCCTCCAAAACCAGCCTCTCATTTGGAGACTCTCCCTCAGCTGGTAGAAGCATGGGGACTGGGACACACACTGGAGCAGTGGAAAGCAGAGATGCACGCACACGCTCCGTCAGTTCACGGTTACAATCACCCCCAAAGCCCGATAAATTCCCCTTCTGGCTCTTACAAAGGCAGCACTTGAGCTTTGTGCCGCAAAAATCCAAGCATCCCCCAGACGCTCCTGTCCTCGCCGGTGCCTTGCGCTCCCTTCCCCCGCCCGCCGGCAGAACAAGGCTAGCGGCGTGTGCAGAGCAGTTACTCGCCTGCTCCATGTGCCATCCGCCCCCAGCCCATATGCGTGCAGAACCCGTGAGCTGGCAAAGGAAGGACACAACACGGGGAGGAACCTGAGCATTAGCCAAGGGAGGAAGGGGAGCAGCGTGAGCCGCGCTTCCCGTGTCTGTAGGCCCGTCCCTCCAAAACGCTGCACCAAAGGTCAGTTAGAGCCTCAGGACACCCCTGTCCCATCACTGACAGGCAGCCACCTCTGGGGAGGAACTCAGCAGCTGTGTAGCATCCACACAGCAGCAATACACAAAACCAGCAACTGAACCCGCAAGGGGCTATTTTAGTGAGGGAGGCAGGAGCAGCCAGGGGGACACGGGACCCTAGGGATCTTAGGGTATAAACGCCTCAGGGCAGAGACAGCCTGCACAGAACCCAGCAAAACAGGACCCAACTCCCCAAATCAAAGGTGGTTATACATCCAGGCCCACGATGCTCTGAGCACCTGGCCTTTTAACCCTCCCCCAAGAATGGCTGGAAGCTGGTGTGTTGTGGGTGGGACAACCCCGGTGTAAATGGAAAGGCAGCAACATGCTTTAATTGAAGCCAAGGCTCAGCAGGGCGGGCTGAGTTCCTGGCCTTGCTGCAGCCCGGACACTGCCCGTCTGTCTCTGAGCCAGCCCTGCCCTGAGGTAACGTTCTAGCTCAAGAGCCAAACCCAGTAACCGCTGCAAGGTGCTGGGCATGGAGCTGCAGGTTAGTCAGGGCCCGCTGCTCTCACGTCGCTAGTTCTGAGCCCAAAGGGTCCCGTGAGTCCACTCGATGGCTCTTTGGCCCTTTTGTTTACAATGCAGTAACCCGGCTTTGTTATGCGTCTCTAGGCGACAGACAATCTTTTACCGCGCCGTTCCTTCCGTCTCTCAGTTTGCATGTGCCCATCTCCAGGGTCCCAGAGCACAGAGTGGCTCCTGCTGAGGGATCAGCAGGTGCGCGCGGAGACGGCCGAGTTGTGAAGACGCCACATTTTACCTGCAGCTCAGTGGATGAGATGTGACTAGACAGCTCCAACTGGATGCGTTTCGGCATGTTGTGTAACGCAACCGGGGCCTGCCGGCCTCAATTGCAACATAAATGGTTGCGGGAGGAGACAAAGCCAGGACCCCTGGGTTCTGTTCCCAGCTCTGGGAGGGGAGTGGGGTCGGAGCAGGGGGCTGGGAGCCTGAGGGGGGAGTAGGCTCTGGTTATTAGAGCAGGTTCTAATGTGCTGCAGAGTTGCCATGTGACCTTGGATGAGCTACCTACACTTTACCTATGTTCCTGTGTCTCCTGATCTGCAAATAGGAGCAGACCCACCTCTGGGAGGTG